ATTTACATTTAGCTAATGAAAAATAACCTTAATATGCTGAACTGCAGGGGGGAAAAATAACTACGATGAAATACTATTTGGGCATGTCCAGTATATATCAAAACATAATTTTGACATTGAAGAAGGTATTAAATGTAATTATTGTTTTTGTTGTGGCATCCCCACAGACCAAATTTTAAAGCTATCTTGTTTATCTAGGATGCAGATAGATGTGTAATGACATATTGAAAGTCACCTGGATGGTGGAAGGATTTAGGTCCTGTTGAAGTGAATGCTGATTAAACATTTTGTCTTAAATGCATTTGAAAATTCCATTATGCATCTTTCTGTGCCCAGAAGACTGTGAGTATGGCATGAGGCTTGTTGTTTGGCTGGGGTTTTTTTAAAAAAAAACCTCAGGGATTTGAAGATTTCAGAACCTGTTACTTCTGTCGTACTAGTTTTCTTCTTTCAGAAATAAGCTGGCTACTACCATAAAAAGCATTTAATCTTTGTTTTCATTTGTTGGACATTTCTCTGCACCTGCTTCTTCAGTGTAACTCAAGGAGTCAAGAGATTATTGTTCTTACAACACAAACATCAAGTAATAATATTACATAGACATGAAAATGTAACCACTCCCTTTCCTGTGAGTGCAGCTGAGGGAGAGCCAGATACTGGAACAGCAGCAGGGGAAGCCCCCTGGGCTCTCTAGACAAGTCTCGTAAGCATCAGGACATGCAGGCTCTTCCTGTAGGACACTGCTTTGCACCCTGGTACTGCAAGTGGAAGGCTGTTCCAAAATCTCTGTGCTCCAATTGCCAGGAACTGTTCACCTTTTTTTTTTTTTGGTAAACTTACTGACAGCCAATTTATACACTTGTATTCTTGTGCCAACGTTATTCTCTGACGAAAATAGTTTTTCTCTGTTCTGTTCTCTACTGTTTTTTATAGCGAGTAACTTCATCTTCTCTCAGCTTTTGATTTGCTAGGTTAAACAAACCAAGTCTGTTAGTCTCATAAATTAAGATTTTTATTGATCATCTCAATAGTTGTTTTCTGTGTCTGTTGCAGTTAGAATGAGCTCTGTTGAATAGGGGAGACTACACTTGGTGCCAGAGGTGGCCCTACTATAGCTGTGTAAGGCACAGCTGCTGAGGTCTCTCTCGTCTCTCTCTCTGCTGGAAACCTCTGTTGATGTCACTTGAGTTTCCCTCTTTCACACTTACACCTTTTTGTGCTCTCATCCTGTAGCTGCTGATCTATCCAAGTCCTTCTCCCAAGCCACTTAGTTAACAGGCTTCCACCATGCTGCAGAACTCCTGTGTTACTGTTTTGTTATTTTCCACTTTGTTTTACTGACTTTTGCCATATTTCGGTTATCTTAGTTCTCGAGATCAGCCTGTTGCTTTCTGTACTGTATCTTCTCAACTTTTTCTTACCTACTTATATCAACACTCCCATAATTCTTGTAATCTGCCATTAATTACAACTCTAGATGTGATGAGTCCCAAGACAGTATCCAAAATCCAGAAGGTACAATCCTCAGTCCTTAAAAAATGCAAGATAAGTATAAGTGAAGCTTATTCAGCCAAATGTTTTGGATGGTACATTAAGATACGGCTGTCTGTTTGGCTCAGTAGATGTTTTCTGGGCTGTATTTGTGTATGTACCTAGGATATATTGAGTAATACATAACAAATTACTTCTGTTTTGACAACAGTGCCAAGATCCTTCAGTCAGGGATTAGGCCCTGTTTGCCTGAGTGTTACAAAACAATCTTTGGACAGATGCTTTGGTGAAATAAGCAAAGAATAGCAGTTTTGTATGTGGGGCAATTAAAATTATGTGCAAGGGTGATGACCAAGGGACAAAACACATGTAAAATCATTGACCCATCAGAGGGAAATTTTCTGACTCCAGACTGGATGAGGGATCAGTAAAATCTTGAAAATAAGCTGCAGCAGAAAAGACAGTTTGAAGTACTTTTTCACCCTTTTTATTAATCCCTGGGGGGTTTTGTTCTGTTGTGATGTGACGCTTGTGTAAAACCTTTTTGTGTAGAACCTAGTTTGTAGTAACTACAGTACCTCCCTGTCACAGGCAGGGCACAGTAATACTCTTTTTTTAGAAAGACAGCCTCTGTAGGTTCTTGAGCTTGAAAAGTCCCCGTTACTTCCAGCTCTGAGCCCTGATGGTGTCCTGGGCACTGTAAAGGGCTGTTGACCTTTCCTTGAGCAGAGAGCATCTGAACTCCACAAATCTTTGAGTACTGTTGATTATTCAAAGTGACTGGTATAAATATCAATGAATCGGAGACATGAAGCGCTGCTTTTATTTCTTGTGATGATGGCACAGAAAAGTCTCTTTGTTTCTTCAGAGATTCCCTTCACTTTCTGCCTGTGCCATTTCTAATTAGAGTTTTCTTTTGGAGTTACAAAATCAACCTCTACAGTACAGAACTGGCTACAAGTAAAATAAGATTTGCTTAGAGAGTTTACAACATAAAGACATCCTGAACAAACAGAAGCTGGAAGCTTTAATACACTTAAGGAGAAAAAAAACAACAACAAAAAAACCCAAACAAACAAAACCCAACAACCAAAAGAACCCCAAAATTCTCAGCAAACCAAACATGGAGAAAGTAATAAGCAAAATATGCAGTTTGCTGCAAAATCATAGAATCATAGAATCATAGAATGGCCTAGGCTAGAAGGGACCTTAGAGATCATCTAGTCCAACCTCCCCATTGTGGGCAGGGACGCCACCTCTCGACTAGACCAGGCAACACATGGGGACCGAGTGGGAAATAAAGAAGCCCAAACATACTAGAAGCTTTTATAACTGTGTTAGAAGCAAATGTCACAAATTATTGGTCCTCTGTGTGAAACCTCTGTTAGGGTTTATTTTGTTCTAGTGCTTTCAGGTTTTAGGGTGGTGGTTTTTTTCCCCTGAAGTTTTGGGTACAGAGAGTAAGCATATGCTGGAAGTGAGTTTTCTGACATGGGTGGTGGTGTGAAGTCACCAAAGGACGTTGCTGTGTGATGGACACACCTGCTCCTTCTCCCTGTGGTCTGTAGCGCAGTGCTTAATAGAGCAAAGTCAGGGAAGGACCGCAAACAATTTGGAAGGTTCTGTGCCTCAGAATTTTAATGAAGTCATCCTGGAAGGAGATCTACAAACTGGACACTCATGATATATGACATCTGACCATCATTCTGAGAGAGTTAATGAATCAGAGGGTATTATGTCTGCTTTCCCTAGATCACTTGTTCGAGCTCAGCCCACAGCTATAAGTGACCAAATGTCACTCTGCATTAAGTGAGTCGTACTTTTCTCTCCACTGGTTCTTTGGAAGCAAAGCACATTGTTCCGGTGCTGCTTCCCCAGGCATGAGCCTACATACCATCCCAGCCTGAGACACCAGTGAAAGACTGAATTTTGGGACTCCCTCTAAAAAGCTGTGCCCCCAAAACATGAGGGCACAGGATGCAGCCAGATTGCCCATTCAACAGTGGTTCCTTCACGAGTGCTAAATAGCTTATATTCTTAGAGAAGTGTAACAGCAGGCAAATAGCTAGTATTTACTCTAATTCTATCACCTGAAAAATCTCAGCTACTCTTTTTTTCCATACAGAAGAGGGCAGATGTGACATCATGTGTTTCTGTTGCCATCAACAGGCTTATATCTGCAAAATTTGGTTGTTTCCTTTGGTCTTGAAGAACAGCTTGTATGCTTAGCAAGAGGGGAAAATAGCCCAGCATATTTGTGAAAAAAAATGCTACCAATATTCTAAGAACTCACATGTTTAATTAGCATGAAATATACAAATCTGCACCAAAAAAGGACTATTTTTTAAAGTTAGTTAGAGAATCTTGTCTCAAAAATGAAGAACATTTTAATTTCACTGAGGTTATGTGCATGCAGGCAAACCACCTTTTTATATTTCATCTCCTTGCTTCATTTATTGAAGTTGTGCATCTGATACCTACCAGTCATTGACAATCACTTTTCTTGCAGGGAGAAAACACTGACCCTGAAAATTATCTGATTTTTGGATTGGAAGTACTGTTCACTCACTCTGGAAACACTGACTCACTTGACAGCTCAAAAAAAATCCAAAGCCAGAAAAGCCCTCTAGCACCTTTATGTGACAACATCTGCTAGGCCATCAGAAATTAGCCCTTATTGCATTTATTTATTTATTTGCTAAGGCTATGCAGCGCTCTGTGTATTGTTCTACAGAGGATGGGCTGCTCCGTTGCTCTGTAGGATGGAGTTAGCCATCTGCCCATGCGGGAACTCCGCCTGGTGGGCAGAATTTCAGAAATGTATGGTGGATAATTCAGGGGTTGCATAGAATTTCAGGACTTTCTAATCATTGGCACTTGGATTGATAAGGGCTCGAGGAAGAGATGTAAGAGAAACAAAAGAAATCATGGTCCAAGGAGTGGGGACTGGGAGGAAAGAAGTCACAGGAATCTCTAAGCAGGTAATCAGGACAGCTCTGTGGAAAACAAAGATTTGAGGGTTGTATGCATTTTCTAATACAGAATCACAAAGTAAAAATACATTACATCATTAGGATTGTAATCATCCCAGACTAAAGCTCTTTTACTGGGTCATTCTGTGACTTTTCTGGGACAGTAACGTAGCTGAATATGATGGGTAGAGATTTCCACTGCCTCATTCAGCCCATATCCTAGTGGGTTTGGACATCCTTTTGGATTGTGTGGCATTGAATTGGATCCCATCCCACAGAGGAGGACAAAGAATCTGTGTCTAGGAATCTTCTGAGGAAGATATCTGCCTGCTGGATCTTTAAACAGTACTGGTGCAATATTAGTCCCAGCACATTTCACGTTCCACACATTGAAAGAAGAAATCAATATTATATAGTCTATAGCACTTTGAACCCAAGAGCTACCTATGCCTGTGTTTCATAGTCGTGACCTATCATTTGAGCTTCAGGAAAGTCCTCCTGGCCAATCTCAACCACTTTTCCTTTGTTTTCTTGCAGGCTCTGATACTTCACCAGCTCGGGCGCTTCAGCTTGGCAGAGAAGATTCTCAGAGATGCCGTCCAGGTGAACTCCACAGCCCATGAGGTCTGGAATGGCCTGGGAGAGGTGCTGCAGGCTCAAGGCAATGATGATGCCGCAACTGAATGCTTCCTGACGGCGCTGGAGCTTGAAGCTAGCAGTCCCGTGGTGCCCTTCACCATCATTCCTAGAGTCCTTTGAGAGGGCGTCTTGATCAACTGAGTTTGGTCTGACTTTTGGGTGAGGAAACCCAGTGTATCAGGCTGCCTGGGAACTGGTTAGTTTTGAAAAACTTTAGAGCTACAGGTAACTCCGGTTGTTTGCAGGAAAGTGGCAAAAAACAGTGACATGATGCAATGTATTGATGGTAGACTGAGAGGACAAGATGGCTAGCCAGAACCAAACTGCTCATATCGCCTCCATTTTTGCCCTGGTAGTTGTTTTAAAACATCATTATATTGTTCATGGATGATGTGCCATATTTTGTTAGTGATACTTGAGTGTTACATAAAATTATAATGGAATCAACTACCAAGTGTAGAAAAAGTTACAATTCAGTGGCTGACCAGACTATTTTTAACAAGTCCATTAACAAAACTGTTCTTGTTCTGCCTCTCCACCTCTTTTGGCTCAAAGTCAAAATGTGAATTTTTCTGTTTCCATCTCTGTTTTAGTCCAGGCCAGAAAATCAGTTGAGTTCTCATTTTTAGTTGTTAATAACTGTGGTGTGTGGCTAACTGTTATCTCTATTTAGAGCAAAGGCTGAATACAAGAATATTTATATTTTACCAATGTATGCCTGTTACAAAAGATATATTAGTTATTTAAGTTTAACTTTTTTATGTGAATTCAGAGTTTATTTATCAATGGAAATATGTAAAAAAGAAGCCTCAAATGGAATATTTACCGACATTCCTTATACATGACCCACACTTGGCTAAATGGGAAGATTATGTTAATAATAAAATGATTTTTAAATGGAACCTTTCTTGTGTCCCGGTTAAGAACCAAGGGGAAAATAGATGGTTTGGGAACACATTTTTACAATGTGGGGCCTGTGGCTGGCTGGCCTTGAGCATGAATGACACCAAAATGAAATGCCCTGAGGCCAACCTGGAGAAAAGAAGCTGCTGTACTTGTTGCCAGTACTATTGTTTATCTTAAATTTCAGGTTTCCTTAAATCTTCACTTCTCCTTTTCTATTCCTGCTACTCCAGCTCTCGCCTCTACATAACACATGGACATTTATGTGTATTGCGGTAGTGCTGGGGAAGAGCATGTTAAATATTTGCACACTATTCTTCAGTTTTCTTTACCTGTTTTGTAGTTCTTTCTCAGTATCTGCTGCTCTTTGCATCCCTTGAAGGGAGAGCTGGCAGGTAACATAGTACTGCCGTATCAGTAGTAGTAGAGCCAAATGTTTAGTAGGCAGAGTCTCTGGGGTGTGTGGAGAAGAGTCATTCATTGCGGTGAATATTTGAGGCGCGTGAGCTGGGGTAGTTTGGTGTCTGCACAGTTACAACGCTGGGCTCATCTGGAACCTAGGAGGAATTCCAGCTTCCCCATTAGACTCGGTGCTCCTTGATATTTGCCTGATCTGCCACAAGAAGCAGTTTTAAAGCGCTTAGCACAAGATAACAGATGATTGAGAAAAATAAAGGCAAATGTTTTTCTTTGACACTCACCAGAGCACTTACTCATCTCAAACGCGTGGAGGATCTTTCCTGCAACGCAGGCTCTGCGCACTCCAGTGAGAATCTCGGAATGGCAGAAGACTTAAACTGGGGGGAGCTCTTAATTTTTGCTTCTCTTCACCCCCTCCCTCCAGCATTTCATGTGCCTTTTAGGCTGAGGCTACTTTCAGATTTTATCTGCTTAGTGCTTGCACCATATGTTTGTAAAATGGACCGAAAGGCTGTAATAGGTAGTGTTTTCAAATCTGTTTGAAAGCCAGCAGAAATTGTGTCATCTTGCTCAGTACAAAATACATCAAAGTTTTCCTTCCCCTTTTAAAGTGCCTGTTTTGCATGTGATCTTCCTACTGTCCTTGGGTTTTGTTTGGGTTTTTTTTCCCCTTCTGTTTGCCACCTCTCTTTTCTAGTCCCAGTTCATAATACATGCTCTGGCCCTGCTGTCTTTTTGCACCCACTGTGTGGCACCTGGTGTAGCAAAAGATACTGCAAAGCTTTGATTCCTCCTGAGCCTTTCTGCCATCACAGTTCAGTTACTTAAATTTGTAATACGTTTCACAGACACGCTCCTGTACAATATTTATTTGCCTTTTATTATAATATCAAAGCTTTTCTAATGAGGCACTTTACACCTAGATCTGACACTGGTGGCCTTTCTCAAGAGAACTTCAGATGAAAGTGGAGAAATAGAATTCTTTAATAGCAGAATTTATCTTTGGTTCTTCTCGTTTAATTTAAAGCCCTGGCCTTTTTTGATAAACTCCCAGAGTGCAAAGGTTAGCAGTCTAATTGTGTCATATCTTTTATTAGTGGAGAAGTTGTCACTGCTGTTGTGTATATCAGGTGAACATGAATATCTGTTTCATTTTTCTTACAGTGGAATCAATTTCACTGTAAATCCACAAGCTTCTACCTCTTGGGAATAGCCTCAGCTACCTATTTTTAAAAATGGATTAGCACCGTAAGACTGCACATTCAGGAATTTTCAGGCAGAAGTGGAAATCCTTGCAGTGTATGAATTAATCAGCAACACTTGTTTAAATGTGATTTTCAACTCTAAAAAGTTACTAGGTTTTACAACTGTGTTTTTGATTGTTTTTTTTTTTTAATCAAGTAAGAAGGCTGATAATATTTTTATATCTATTTTAGTTGATACACAGAAAGATCTGCCTTTTGCTATCTGCTCTTGGACCTATCTGGTATCTCAGTCCCAGGAGCGAAGCAGGCGATGCCAGCATGAACAGCCATTCCCCAGGGAAGTACTGCCCTCCGTGCCAGTGGGTCAGTGTCATCTGCACAAGGGCTGCTTCTGGACTTTGTGGCTGACCACATGTCAAGGTGGAAACACAGATCGATGTGTGCTCTTGCTCCCCCAGCCTGTGTCAGAAGTAATAGCTGTTCAGATGTATGGAGACATAAACCAGGGGCTGATCCAGCTAAAAACTAAGCCAGCCCCTTGATCCCTTGCCCCCACAGGGTTTTATTAAGTTTTGGGTAGAAGCCTAATAAAGGCTTCAGGTGGTTCTTTCATCTGATTTACTGCACAAGTAGTACCGCTAACATGCAGAAAACAGGACTTGCCCTCCACAGAGCAGCTCATACTTGCACCATTTTAAGATGGTTATTAAATTGCGTTGTGAAGCACTCTGTGTCACTATAAGGACAAGTTGCACAATCTTGAGATCTCAAGCCTTTCAATGGGGATCAAATGCACCTCTTTCATCCATACGACTGGCATAGCAGGCTTCAGAGGAAGGTTCCTTTACTCTGCAGTGTGCTTGTGTTACTTGAAACCATTAACACTTGGTGCATTAAGCAGGTGCCAGAGTGTAACAGCAACCTCTGCTGCACATGATAAAAGATCTTATTCCATTGTGCTTACAATAAGAACAAGAACATCACTCAAGTTCTTGGTGCAGGTAACCTTTTTTTACTCCACGAATTATTTAATTTCTTTTTTTTTTGCTTTCATGACTGATAGAGAATCACAGGAACAAGAGAATGAGTCCAAGCAGAACTAATCCAACTGTATCTTTGAAAACTTTTGTCATTAATTATATGCATTTTAAACATCAAAGGCTATTTTTAAGAATGCTATAATTTTCCTTGAAAATCTGTTTTTTTCCTGAGTAGACTGTTCTACTCTGGAATGATAGTATAAGCCTGGGTATATTGGAGTTCCAGATTTACCTTGCTAATTCTTTGTTTGTTCAGTTGTCAGTTAAAATGATATTTTTCTTATCCATCAATCTGGCAATCATCTACTCCCTCCTCTAGCATCAAGTTAAAAGCCTTATATGCTAAAATATGCTTTCAGTGAGTACACATCTGCATTTCATCTGCTTAACCTCATCATCTCCAAACCACCTTCTCTGATCCCACCAGCAGGCTATGCTGGAATGTGTTGCACATATTATCACAAAAAAAATAGCTGGTAAGAGCCCCACTGGAGAATAGAGAAGATAGTGAGCATTCAGCTTTTCCTGAATTGCTGATTAAGTGAAACCTGATGGGAGCCTCCCAGTCTTGCCAAACTAGCAAGTGGGCTTGAAGAAATGGGACAGTGAAGTTAAAACCTAAAATGAATCAGAAAGAAATGCAATCTCAAACATTTTTGGGGACGAAGAGTGCATGTGAAGTGGGTGGCTGGCGTTGGTCAAACTTCATTCTTCCCTCTTGCAGGGGTGCAAGGTCCGGACACACCGGTTTGCCATAGCTTTGGTCACCCTGTCTTTCTAGTTCGCAGTTTGAAGCACCTTTGTAGACTAATAATAATTAGGTTCCCTAATTATTATTTCAAAGAGAGAAAATGGTACCTTTTAAAATTTCTAAATCCTTTGAAAAGCTGTAACCACTTCTGTCTAGCTCCTGTTAAATACCCAGTCATGGGACAGACAAGCACCAGGCACCACTATACTGTCATTTTTGCCCATGCCTTTTCAGAGCACAGCAGCAGAGTGTGATCTTCCACCTGCGGTCCATAAGGCACAGGCAGGAGCACACAGCAAAGCTCCGAAGGTAGAGGTTGGGAGAGTGCTTTTGCCTTTCTAAGTATGCATTCACTTGAGGAACTGAGTGTAGAAATCTATTTTGCTTGTATACTTCATCCAGATGTAAATCTCTACAGTGTGCTCCCCGCATCCACATTGGAATGACATGACTAGCTCTTGGCTCCTTCTCTGCCTCTAAAATTGCCTCCCCAAAAAGTGACACTCTTCAGTATGAAATTACGGAAGGTGCCCCATCTATCCACCTTGAAAAAAAAAATCCAAAACAGTAGACATAAGACATAATAAGGTAATGATAATAGTTGTTGATTATTCCAATGATGTTGCTTTAAAAAGGTGTGGAAGCAGTGATTTTCTGTTTGTTTCTATAGCTCAGCCCCAGCCCCTCTGTGTGGATGTGGAGCTGGGCATTCTCCAGTTGGTAAAGCTCAGGAACCTGATCAGCATCTGTGCGCCCAGGCTTGCCACCAAAGAGAAAAAAGGACTTGCTTACCATGTTTTTGTGTCATCTTTTCTACACACATGCGTGCACATACTCACAGGTTACAGAAAGCCAGGTTACAAGGATATTTTACACTTGTGGCAGAAAGTTTTGAGAGGACTCGGAAGTTCCTTTGTGAGTTCACTTCAGCTCCTATGAAGCCGTTTTCTCTATAAACAGGCTTTTCTTCTCTAATAGAAAGTTGGCAGTGCTAGAAAAGGAAATTCTGACCCCAATTTTCACTTCCAACGCATGTCAGATGTATATCAAATAATGAGCCTGAGACGTTATAATTAGTGCAGGTTTTCCCAGGGTGGTTGTTTTCCAAACAGCACCGACTACTAATGTAGGACTGGAGGGGGCAACAGAGGCCATAAAACATAACAAGTTGCTTCCCTTTCAACTGTCTTGCAAAAATAGCTCTTTATCTGGAGTAAAACAGCCATCTTTTGCCTAAACATTTTTTTTTTTAAGGATCCCTTCCAGAAAGGGTTCTTTTCTTTCTTTCTTCTTTTTAATCTTGCAAACAAGTGTTTAGGGTAACGAACTCCTGAGTGCTGGAACAAGAACCCTGAAACCTGCAGGGCAGGTCCTGTGACCACAGCACCCACCGACTGCCTTCACTGATAAAGGACCTACACGTTCTTAGGCTAAAATCACTTCTTCCCATATGTGAGCTTCAGGGAGAAGTCCCACTTGCTTGATGATCCCATTGCCCTGCTTCTCTGGTGGTTCCCCAGGCTGGTGGCCAGCCTGCAGGAAGACAGGTTTCTAGGGGAGGTGCTCCTCTCCACCTCTCTGCC